GGAGTGCTTCCGGATCGCAAAAGCCCAAACGCTGATTGCTCTGTGTGGGACGGTGCCCGGGTATTGGTTCACCGTCGCGCTAATTGACATCATTGGCAGATTCACCATTCAGTTAGTTGGGTTCATCATGATGACTATTTTCATGTTTGCCCTCGCCTTTCCCTACCACCATTGGACTATGAAGGAGAATCGAATTGGGTTCCTCGTCATGTACTCATTGACGTTTTTCTTCGCCAATTTTGGGCCCAATTCCACCACTTTCATTGTTCCCGCCGAGATCTTCCCGGCCAGGCTCAGGTCTACTTGCCACGGGATTTCCGCCGCCGCCGGGAAGGCCGGAGCCATCGTCGGGGCATTCGGGTTTTTGTACGCCGCGCAAAATTCCGACCCGTCCAAGACGGACCCGGGTTACCCACCGGGTTTCGGCGTCAAGAACTCGCTTATTACGCTCGGTTGCATCAATTTCCTCGGTGCTTTGCTCACGTTGTTGGTGCCGGAGCCCAAAGGAAAATCGCTGGAGGAGTTGACCGGCGAGAATGAGATTGAGGAAGACGGCGCCGCCGTGGAACATCAGACCAATAGGACAGTGCCGGTGTGATTAGATTAAGGGTATGAAAAGTGAAACGATTCGTTTCGTCACATTTTGTGGAAATTATTAATATGTAATTTTGGATTTTGCATGCGTCTCGTCCTCTGAATTGTGATATGATTTTGGTTTCTTCTGTATTTCGTTTGTTTCTGTTGTACTTTGTCTTGTACTTAACCTTTTTATTTTTACGTAATTTTTCTTTACAAAATATGACTTTTTTGTGTTGCCCTTTTTGGCCTTCTTAGTCCAATAAATATGGGATGTGGGTATTCCAGTCTCCAATCAGATATATATGTATCTTTAGAGCTGTACTCATTGGATATTTCCAAAAGTGACATAAATTCGAAGGTGTAAATGAAATATATTTGTTTTCTTTTTTAAACATACTATTCTAATATTTTCTAACAACACTCAATATAGCAAATTACTTCAGTGCCTTCAATTATTTTTAATTAAAGTTGATGCTTTCATTCTTTTTCACCCGTCTTCCTCTCTCACTCACTCTCCCTCCAATGGTGTGGATGGCAAACGAAGATCCCGTCCCTCATTGACAGTCTCTTCTCTCGCATCTTGCCCAGTTGTAGTTCGTATTAGATGGAGTATACAAGAAGATGGAGAAGAAAAGTAATGAAAAAAAAAAAGAGAGAGAGGAAAATTATGCATTATTGCATAGGAAGAAATAAACGAGGGAMGAAAAGGTAATTTTACGGAATGTTAACTCAACCAAAAATTAGAATAACAAGTTTTTCAAAACACGGTCATATCTCATCTACCCAGCTAAATGACAGGTTTTTTTTTTTTGTTTTTTTTATTAATGATTCATTTAGAAAAATTGTTTCCTGCAGACCAAGATTCTGGTATGCTTTTTGAAAATATGATTCAGACAAGAAAAATACTTACCCACACATCATTAATATTTGTTTTTATTGACTTTTGAGGTGGCATATTTTTCTCTACTAAAAATTATATAGAATTCTCACTTGTATATTAAATGCGATAGAAATAAATAAATATAAATACATTGCGTTAGAAAGCCAGTAAAATATTTTMCTAATCGGTGTGGATAAATATTGTTGTTTTAAGAATTGGTATCAAATGATTTATTATAAATATTTAAAATCAATATTAAAATAATTTCTAATTCTTACACCGACAGCCTTAGTCATGTAAGCAGCTCTAGCCTTGTAAGCTCACGCCTAACAGTGAAAATTTTTTACACCATTATTTTAGAAAAATAAATRTTTTATTTATTCTAATAAACACGTCAAACCAAAATATTTTTTTGATAAATTTAAAAGAGAATGATGTTATTTCCTATTGTTCTGTATGAATTAGAAAACAAATATATACTTATTAAAATTACCTTTCTAAACCCTATTTAGTTAAAATAAATGAGCTCTGTTGACCAATACCTTGATTATTTAACTTTTTAAAGTTGTAAGTTCGAATATTAACCCCTTTTTTGGACTAAAAAAGAAAAGGTTAAAACAAATGATTTTGAAAGATATGATCAATAATTCAAACAAAATGTTCTAAAATATTAGATTTTAAAACAAAGTAAATAAATTTATGCTTTGAGAATTGGGTTTGGGAGTTGAGATGGGATGGCCTATGAGCCGATCCATTTTACGTTTACTGGGCCAGGCCCACAAACGAATTTATAGGAAAATTTACAAATAACCTTTTTTTTTTCCTATGGATACCAAATAACCCTTTTACTTTACGTGATCTCACTCTCAAATTTACAAAATTAAATTAAATATTGCAAAATATAMATCAATATGTTTCTGATTGATCTTGAATAGACAAAGATTGGGTAGAAAAACTAGTATTCTTAATTCACATATATATTTTTAGTTCAAACAACATRTTGGGGTGAAGATTGAAACCGCTAACCTTTTGACCATATCATAACTCATAACTCGAATTATGTTTAAAATAATCTAATTCATATCGTATGTCAATTTCATATACGATCACGGCAGAGATCAAACTAAAAAAAATAAAAAACAAAGATTGATATCGATTCTTATACTTTCAAGTATACCTCAAGCCATCCCTTCACACTGTTTTTATTCGTTGGTAGTTAATAAGTCGTCATCTGCAACAATGTTTTTGTTTTTGTTTTTGTTTTTTAATAATTGACCTTATTTATTGGTCAATAAAGTGGTTGGTTTTCAAATAAAAAATGAGAAGACGTGGGGAAGGAGAGTAGACTTTTGATGGATTAGGATTGCATTGGATGGACGGGAACTCTTCGATACAGCTGGTTCTTCCTCCGATTTCAACTCATTGACCATTTACACCCTCTCCCCTTTTCCAATACCTTTCCTATTTATTGTTATTGTTGGATTGTTTTTCGTATTTATAGTGAATCTCTATCACCAGAGTTCCTTCTCGTTCTCTAGGTTAAGCAATATTATGATGAACCTAAGGCTCAARTTTCACAAACTCAAATTCAAAGTAGGTTGTACACCAAAGTTTTCGTATTTACCCCTTAATTTTATAACCCCTAAACATTTTTTTTATTAACAATTAATGATGTGACACAAAAAAAAGTAGGACAATCGGACAAAATAYAGGTGAGTGAGCCAAAAAAAAATAAAATTAGACCTAACAAAAACTAGTATACCTATATGGTTTATATCACTTTTTAAGTTACTCTTATTTTATCTTGTTGTCTACTCTCTTGTACCACTTGTTACGAGACTATCACTTTTCATGCTACCAATATATCACATCAACATTTAAATATCTAAATAATTAAAATTTAATGTTGAGTGATATAATTAAAAAAAAAWTTAGTTTAATGATTAAATATGGTTTATGGACTAACTTTCTAATTTAACTTTATATATTTCACTAATATATATTGTAATTTCTATGAGTTGGTTTATACTCATAAATTTTATCCTATGTTTCGTTTCCTGATCTATACTTAAGCCTTAATAAGTCAATAGAAAATGATATATTCTTGCAATTTTACCTACTGTTGGTATAATTTTGAATACTTCGAAGAAAACAYGTTTTAAATTGATAATAAACACAAACRTATATTCATTATTGATATCTCACCRACCAAAATTTGATTTATTTATGGAATATTTTGTTAYGAACTTTTAGTTGGAAAGTTTGAAATTCTATTATCTATGTTTTAATTATGCAAGATGAATCAGATTCAATTCGTTGTTGCCAAATTCTGATCACTCGAATTAAAAAGGGAGTTAATACAAGTGAGACATACAACAGAGAGGTAAATACTCTGACATTCAAGTTAGTTTCAATCCGATCTATTTGTTTGAAGATGAGCAATCAGATTCACATACCTGAATATAAAGTTTACCTCTGTATTTATAGATGTAAGCTTCTGAGTCATACTAATCGATTAATTTACATGACATGTGAGGTGAATGAGTCATATTCTACCTTTATAAGAAGATATAGGCCGGATTAATTGTCGCGAGATACGATACCTCCACTATCAAAAACTCCTTCTCCTCTTGCCACGTGATAGGTTATTTTACACCCTCAACAAAATTAAAAAATATATATATAAATCTAATTTTGTAGTTGTAAGGTTTGAAAGGTAGGTGTTAGAAGCATGCCTTTGTAGGATTAGTAAATTTGTAGTATGAGATGGTTAATTCTATATATCATTTGTATATTTATTTCACATCTTTAACCTATATTGATTTTAACAAAGAGCCAAATGCCTCGTCAAATTTGTAATAATTAAAATTCGAATCTTCCATTTCTAAAAACAATGTAAGACATGGAACACATGTCTTGTTTTATATATGATTTCAAACTCATTTTTATAGTCAATGCCCATTTGATTCAATTATTTGAAAAACATGCACTTTTCTATTGTGGTATCTAATTACATGGGGACTATTTGCAATTGTATCAAATTATAAGGATATATTTTGCAAAAGAAAAGGTAGCATGTGACCTTTCACTTTCTTATGGGTGGTGAGGGAAAAAAATGAGAGATATTTTGTAAGAAATTTTTATTGTTAAGGCCCCATTTGATTACTCCATTTTTAGTTTCTTGTCTCTAAAAATTATGATTGATTTTTTACCATTTTTTTATATGTTTTTCAACCCCTTTAAAGCATGCCTTTGATTTCTTAGTCAAATTTTAAATAATAAAAATAAGATTTTTTTTTTTAAATTACTTCTGTAGTTTTTAAAAATTGGCTTAAATTTTAAAAACTGTTTTTAAAAAGTAGATATTAAACAAAGAAATGCATGAGTGTATTTTTAAGCTTAATTCTTAAAAATAAAAAATAAAAAATAAAAAGTTATTAAAGGGTGTCTAAGCTAATAACTATATCTATTTATTTTAATTATTATATAAATTTCGATTCAAGTAAGATATCTACCTAACATAACTCAAGTTATCTATTTCCAACTAAAAGGTCATAAATTCAAAATTTCATCTATTGGTTGTACTAAAGAAATTTAATATCGTGGATTTGCCTAAAAAGTGAGTGCATTAACATCTTGATGTGACGTTATGTCCCAATTTTCTTTCGAGGAAAACAAGTTGAAAATTGTAAACGTTATTGCTAACATGAGCACAACTCAGTAATTGACACCTATTGATTTTTTTTAGAGGGTCGGGATTCAAACTTTTGTAACCCAATTTGTGTTAGTTTTCTTAAAATTTAGTAGTTATGGAAGGAAAAATTTTGGTTTCCGTAATTTCCAACTCATGTTCAATTGAATTTATTTGAAAATCCGAGAGCCATCTCCGAAAGGACAGATTTTAATCACTAGTCAACATTATCCGTGTTCGGTCTCCCCTTCATTTTTTTCTAGTCTCCCTTTGTTTTTTTCTCCACAACCTCTTAATAAATGTGGGGACAGAATGCTTCCCCATTAACTCTTTTCTTATAACTCAACTTGCCTAACTATTTTTGTTTTCTCCTACAAAAAATAATATATCACTTCATATTATTTTGAGGTGTGAGAATATTATTTCAAAGTTTGAAGTCACATGTAAATTACCGGGTCCCTACAAGCTAGGTTTTATTTTTAATCATTGAGAGCTAATGAACGAAATAACAATGTACAAGTAACGTCAAAGCTAAGCAATCTACCAAGAGTTTGACTCATCATACTGCTCTCTCTCGTCTGCTCGATGTAGGAGGATGGGTGTACATTTGAACCGACATCTGATCACGACGAGGTGTGGGTGGTAATGACAATTAGCTCCGTGTAGGATCTTTTGTGGGTTTGAACGCTTGATAGTTCCCCAACTCTCTACTAATTCGCTTATCTTACAGCACTTCCGCATTGTTGATCCCACCCTCCCGAAGGGTCTCGCTTGGACCTCGGCACCGTAGAGCGGACACGACAGGGTGGTGGGCAGAATTGTTGGACTGTTAGCTATAATTTTAAAACAACTTCTAAATAGTCTTTCTATAACACAGAAAACAAATTAAAACTAAATTGTTGTCAAATATGTGCTAAAATTTGGAAACTTGTACAACATTCCATTCTTCTGGTTGTTGTTTGTAGTTTGTTATTTGTTTGCTTATGTTATATATTATAGTTGATAAGTATATTTGAATTACAATATTATATTTTTATTAAATAAAAAATAAATTACATTAAAAATAAGTGGAGGGAAAGTGGAGTTCTTTTTCACTCGTGTGAAATCAAGGTTTTATTCTTCTTCAAAATTCAATGGACTTAGAAACTCGAATCATTAGGTCCACATTTGATTGAGATTGCGTTGTAAACTTGTTTTGGATTATGTTTGAAGTTTGAGATAATATTTTTAAAAATTCATTTGAATTAAATGAATCAATTGGTAATTAAATTTTATTTATTCTCTAATCATGAAAAGAAAAATTTTTTACTTATTATAATTCAAAATTTTATATCATATAATATTTTCATAGTTTTTATTCATATACCTATCTACCCGCATAAAATTTTAACACTTTGTAAGTTTGTTTAATCTATATATTGGTAATTTTATAAATTTCTTTCTGTTATTTTCATTATTCCATGCAAAAACATACTAAAATGTCAGGGGTGAAATGTGTGATTTTAGTACTTTTTTGAATAATACTTACCTAATCACTACCCTTAAAATTTTGGTAATTATTTGTTTTTTTTTTTAACAAAATCAGATAATTTCTCTTTTCCTGAGATATTCTTTTCGTCTCTTTCCCTCCGATTTATAACTCTTCACGCGCAGCAATGTATTGACTTTTTGACTGTTGACTTATTTTCCTATCTTGTGGGCCCAAGCGGTCGACTTTTACTGCACTGGGCCCACATTGAGGCATGTCACCGGTACGAAGTTCTTCTTTAATCTGCCGTCCAGATTTTCCCAACGTTATTTTAATCCAAAATAATCATATCTTCGTATCTAACTTAATTCAATAATAATTATCATATACTTTCAAGTTTCAATTAAGAGATCGTGAGCTCGATCTCCACATTAACATATTGTAAAAAAAAAATTCTTATCTCCATATCTATTCTATTGTACATAAATTACCTCCACAACTATAGTTGAATTATTTAATCTCTAACACTCACTTTTTGTTGTACTGCAGAAAGAAAATATTTTAATTAATGAGACTTTAGTACCTATTTTTAATGATGTCATTTACTTTTCCATATCTATAAATGTAATGTTTTGAAAAGGAGTCACAATATTAAAAAAATAAATTATTCATTTCCCTAACAGGATAATGTCCATTACTTTCTTGTTGAGCAGTTTGGGTCAAGTTTTTTCTATTTTAGATTAAAAAGTCAAAACATCTTATAATACAGTTTAATTGTGGATTACGCTTATTTGAGAATTTTTATGCACAATGTTTATAATTTAGAAAATGGCAGTAAGTGGGGTTTTTTTTTTCTCTCTCTCATTTTTTCTTTATTTTAGTAAAGTCATGCCATCTCTTACATCAAACAAAAATGAGATTCAATAATTTATTTATGAAAAGATACTGTTGTCATAATCTGATGGATTAACCAGCGGTCTTTTTTTTTTTTTTCATAAGTCAAAGAAGCTACGTGTGGTGGTCAATTTTTGTAGTAATAATTGTTTATTTATTATTATTTCAATTAAAATTTTGACACTTGCTCCGCGTTAAAATTTTAAAATATATTCAACCACATATTTACTTTTATTTATATTATTTATGATATAAGACTTGTTTCTGGTCGATACCATAGATAACAAATTTCTTATTTGCGTTCTTGAAGAAATTATCTAAATTTATTGAAAAATAAAAGCTCATATATATATAAAATAAAAGCCTTAGTAAATTACGTGGGGTGAGATTCGAACTGTCAACCTCTAGATATATATGTCTTAACCCGCGGAGCTATATTTTGGTTAGTCATTTATATATATTTTTAGTGCTTTATAGGTTACATATATTTTAATCGGTGAAAATTAAAAACAAAACACGAACTTCCATTCTAATTATATGATAAATAACCACTAAATTAATTCTCAAACAAAAAAAACCACTAAACCAAATAATTTAAATTTGTGGGTGATGACATATAATAAAAACAAAATCTTTTTTTTCATATATGCTTGTATAGAATTTTAAAACTGGATGGAATTCAATTAATTTTTCAATTTGAGCATAGTTCGAACTGGTTCATCGTTTTATTTTATTTTTTTTATACACATATAGGTACATTCTCTTTAAAACTTATGAGGTTTGGAAAAAAGACAAAATTAATAGTGGGGTGAAAAATGTAATTGAAAAAGAAGGTAAAATTAAGCAAATAAAGTAAGTTATTAATAAATCTTTTACTGCTTTATAAGTTATAACCAAAGTAGGTGCGTGAAAACAAAGCAGTAGTGGCTGTTGCAAAGTTGACATGGTCATGGGTAAAATTAAAATGAAAGGGTAAGAAAATGGTGTGTAAAAGAACAAATTCCTCACTCCACTGTTGAAACCAAAAGAAAAAAAAAAACGGTAAGCGGCAAGCGAGGCGGGAAAAAGTGGGAGATGGATGGAATATTCGGAGCTAAACCCCACAAGATTCCTCGCACGTGACACGGATCGTGTGGCCGCTTCTTAAATACCCCTCCCCCCATTTTCTCCATCGCCACTGCTTCTCTTTGATCTCTTCTTCTCCTTCAATTTAATTCCCATTCTTAATTCTTAATTTCTCCGGCGATTCCGATTGCTTCCTCATTCCGTCGACGGCGAGGTAGCCTTCTCCTTTTTCCTGCTCTGTTATTCTAATAGCTGCCATTGCTCCAATTGCTCTACTGTGCTTTATTCTTTGATTTTGCCGCTCTTGTTTCCAATTTAACCTAATCAATTCAAACAGAGATGAATTTTGTTTTTCTTCCATGGACGATTCAGTTACTACTTTTCTTGCGCTTTTTTTCCTTTTCTTTCTCTATGGAAAATTTTGGAAAAGTAATATAATATAAATCCTGAATTGAATTGATCTTTTAATCGTTAATTCTAATTTCGGCCTAAATTATCTTCTCCAAGTTTGAGTGGCTCTGCCAACTTTCCAACTTCTCTTTCATGTCGGCTCCAGGGCGTACAAATCTTTAGAAACTAAAATTTTTTCTGGAAGTGGGTCCCTTCCCCTCAGTGGTGGCGAACGGATTTCCCCCGTACTCATGGAAAAGGTTTAATTCATAACTTTTTCAGATTTCGCTTTATTGAATTGAAAGTATTAATTAATAAAGAATTAAAACCCAACTATTTACTGAATTAACTGTTAAACTAATCAAATTGATATGATATGAATAATGAACCTTTTCTTTTTTTTTTTTTTTTGTTCCCTGTTCCTATCCGTCTTCTAGGGCTGTACAGAATTATTGTTGAAAAAATATATATATCTAGTCTTAAGTTTCAATTTGTAGCCATTGGATTTCTTCTAAAAATTAATAGCCGTCTTGAATTTTGAAGGCTTAATCAATTTTGAGACGAATTCCTAATCTCTTCTCTTTCTATTTGTCAAGAGTTTGAATAAAATATTACAACTCTTTTGTCCATTTTCTCGCTGATTTTGTAGTGGGAAATTGATTTAATAATGGCTTTGGTCGATTCCTTTATTGACTGACTATGCATGGGGTTTGATTTCTTTTAATTGGATCTATCTTCTGCTGTCGTCATTTATTTATTTCTAAGATTAGGTCCACAGTTTTAGAAGTCCAGAGTTCAGATTTCACACGAAACCCCCAACCACTGAAGGAAATTTCGCGCCTCCTTCTATCGTCTTCTTCTCAGTTTTAATTTCTATGTTCACAAATAAAATCAACAAAAGATTTGACGGGAAAACAACTTGAAAATCGTGTCTTAAAGATCAATTTGGTTACTCTAGTTTGATCGAAGTAACGATAATTTAGTTCTAAACTTAATAGTTAATAATTTAGTTTTTGTAGTTTAAAATTTGTCACGATTCAGTACATGTAAAAATAGACACTTAATTTTGATTAAATTTATACCCTCAATATAAGTTTATCATACCATACCGTTGCAAACAATTATAGTCGAGTTGAATTTTTTATTTCCATATTTGGGTTAATGAATTAAATATATCATCATTCTTTTCGTTAAAATTAGGAAAACACAGCTTAATTTTTTACTATGTCGAATCCTGAATTAAGTTGTTGTTGTTGTGTTTAGGAAGTTCATATTAATTCATTAGATATATAGATTGTTAGTAAAATTTATATATTTTTCTTAAAGAACAAAAACTTTGGAAGAAAATTCTTTGCTCGGCATTAATAATGATTTTGACGTGTTTATTTTTATTTCTTTTTTTGCATCTTTCTTATCTGTCAAAATCTAAGAAATTTCTGAAAGGTTTTATCTTTTTCAAAATTCGTAACTAGATGTGATGTCAGCAATTTTATGGATAGTTATTGGCAGATACTATTACGTGATTGTGGTTGGGCATTGTTTGTCAGATTTTGGTTTTTTTTTTTTTAATACTCATTACTATACCTCTCTATTCCAGCCTTTTAGATATAGTAGTGTTGTCCATTTTAATGTAATATTGAACATTTTCACAAGAAGTTTAACACTATTTTTCTGAAATTGATTTAAGTTTTAAGATAAGTGGAGTTTTGTCTTAAAATGACCCAATAACTTTCACTACATGATATCAAATCCATATAGTGATGTGTGTACTATTTGTTTGGATTCAGGGGAAATATTTGTGTAAAAAGAGTAAGATCAGAATGGCAGGCGAGACACTGCAAGTGCTGAATGCACTTGATGTTGCGAAAACCCAATGGTACCATTTCACAGCAATAGTAATTGCTGGAATGGGCTTTTTCACCGACGCCTACGATCTCTTCTGCGTCTCTCTTGTCACCAAACTATTGGGCCGGATTTACTACCACCAACAAGGCTCCAACAAGCCCGGCGAATTGCCTTCAAACGTCGCCGCCGCCGTCAACGGCGTCGCTTTCTGCGGAACCCTCTCCGGCCAGCTCTTCTTCGGCTGGCTCGGCGACAAGATGGGCCGCAAGCGCGTCTACGGCATGACCCTCATGCTCATGGTCATTTGCTCTGTAGCTTCCGGCCTTTCTTTCAGCAGCACCCCGACTTCTGTCATCGCCACTCTCTGTTTCTTCCGATTCTGGCTCGGATTCGGCATCGGCGGCGACTACCCACTCTCCGCCACCATCATGTCGGAATATGCTAACAAGAAAACACGCGGCGCATTCATCGCCGCCGTGTTCGCGATGCAGGGGTTTGGGATTCTGGCCGGTGGGGTGGTGGCTATAATCGTCTCCGCCGCTTTCAACGCCAAATTCCCTGCTCCGGCGTACGAGGAAAACGCCGCCGCGTCCACCGTCCCGCAGGCGGATTACGTCTGGCGAATAATTGTGATCTTCGGCGCCTTCCCTGCTCTGCTCACTTACTACTGGCGGATGAAAATGCCCGAAACCGCTCGCTACACCGCCTTGGTCGCCAAGAACGCGAAACAGGCGGCGGCCGACATGTCGAAAGTGCTGCAGGTTGATTTGGAAGCGGATCGGGAAAGAATCGAGGAGGGGAAATCGAAGACCGAATTTGGATTGTTCTCGATGGGATTCCTCCGTCGCCACGGGCTCCACTTGCTCGGGACGACCTCCACTTGGTTCTTGCTGGACATTGCGTTTTACAGTCAGAATCTGTTTCAGAAGGACATTTTCACGGCCATCGGGTGGCTCCCTCCGGCGAAAACCATGAACGCCATTGACGAGGTTTTCAGAATCGCCAGAGCTCAGACTCTGATTGCGCTGTGCAGCACGGTTCCTGGGTATTGGTTCACGGTGGCGTTGATCGACGTAATGGGGCGATTCGCGATCCAATTGATGGGGTTTTTCTTCATGACGGTGTTTATGTTCGCGTTGGCCATTCCCTACAAGCACTGGACTCTGGAAGCCAACAGAATCGGATTTGTGGTGATGTATTCGCTGACATTCTTCTTCGCGAATTTCGGGCCCAACGCCACGACGTTTGTGGTTCCGGCGGAGATATTCCCGGCGCGGCTGAGGTCGACCTGCCATGGAATTTCGGCGGCCTCTGGAAAAGCTGGCGCCATCATTGGGGCTTTTGGATTTCAGTATACAGAAAAAGCAATTGGGGTTAAAAAGACGCTTATAATTCTGGGAGTAGTGAATGGTTTGGGAATGTTGTTCACTCTATTGGTTCCTGAATCGAAGGGAAAGTCTTTGGAAGAAATGTCGGGTGAAGCTGGAGAAGAGCCCGAAACCAGGCATGAATCTGATCACAGAACTATCCCTGTTTGAATTCCTTTTCCTTTTCCTTTTCTTTTGGGTAATATTTTGCCAAAAAAAAKAAACACACTTCTGATATTTGCATTGCATATTTGGCAAATAAAGAGACGGCCCTCCTCTCGTGATTAGTGATCATTCTCTTGGGTTTATATAGGCCCATATACGGGCTATTGGGCCAGCAAGCTAACACAGCCCATTACAAAGGAAAATAAAAGAATTCAAATTTGGAAATGGGGGATGGAAGAATTCTTGGACGCTTTATTTTACAAGTCTTTAGGATGGAATTTACACGTTTAATTCACCTTACTCTTTATTCCACTGTTCAACCAAAGTAACGACTGAATTCCAAACTCTCATTTTCCATTTTTAAGGTACAAATACATTAATAGTTGCTAACTAGTATAGTTTAATGCGCTTGTTCCTTTAAATGTGTTCAAATCTTTGTCCCTATTTTTTTCGTTTGGTTGTACTAAAAATAGTGCCTTAACAATTTAGTTATATTTTGATTAACTATTTTTATTTTCAATTAATAAAATATTATTTACTGGATAAAAGTTTCTTTCTAGACCTTTCTACCATAAACAGAGTTGTCAATTTTTATTTTATTTTTTTTTTAACAACCAAAGTTGTCAATTTAAGAGAGAGGAACACCTTCTTGACGTAGACCCTCTCACAGTCTCACCAAATAAATTCAGTTTCTTAAATCGAGGGAAAAAAACAATTAAACTGCGTATTTTTCTAATTACATTTACTTTTTTTTTTGGACAATATTTGTAATTACATTTTTTTTATATAAACATTTGTAATTACATTTACAGTTAGAGTCTGCAGACAAATTAATTCTAATATCACAATAGAATAATACCTTTTTAATTCTATAATTTTATGTTATTATAGTCTCTTCAATACGATATTGTTGTTTATTCTTTGTTTACGTTTTTGTTATTATTTTCGTGATGCTTCCTCACCTAGTTTTATAAACATTCGCAAAAGTTATAAAGTTTATTCAATAGAGTATTTAGCTTCATTTATCTCGTTCTTTTAATATTTTCACCAATTCATTTGAAGTTTAACAATAAAATTGAACAATTTCTATCCGTTTGTTTTAAAATTAAAAAATAATTAAACCGTTAAAACTAAATATAGGAAAATTGATGGAAATTACGGAATAGTACGGAATACGGCACCGTTCTTATCAATAAGAAGAAAGAACGGCGGGACTCGCTGCTGAAATCCCGTTATTGTGATTGCCGTCTGCGGGCTGCTTTTCTATATCACATTTTCCTCAATTATTGGGTTAACACTTTTTATTTTTTAAACACTATATCTTGCTTTACTTTTGTGATTTCTTTTTCTTTTCTTTTTGGACACAGCTTTACTTTAGTGATTAAACTTTGGATATTAAACAAAGAAGTAAATCCAACTTCGAACAATTTTAATTATGTTGTTAGATTTTGGATTGTATTTTTTATTTTATTATTTTTTTTTAGACAAGAAATAAGATACCAACCATTCATGTTTACTACAACTAAAATGACAATTCCAACCCTCTTAAATTTCAAGTTTTCAAATTCTCACTCTAAGTTTAATTATAAATTTAGTTATGAAATTTTAAAAGTTGCGCACAATATATCCGACCAAAAGGTCGATAGTTCGAATCCCAACCTCATATGTATATACATATTAATGAATCTTAATAAATGGACCATTGAAAATTCATGAATTTATAAAACCCTTAAATTTCAAATATCTATTAGATTTTTTTTTGTAAACGATCTATTGAATAGAATAACACTATAGTAGATTAAATTTCAACGTTAATGACTCCTATACCAAATTCAACTAATAAATGCATTAATTTCATGACATCAAAACTTAAACCAATTTTGACTGAGTTGAATAGAGATAAAAATCTTAATATTTCACAAAAAAAAAAAAAATTGCAGATATATTTTTCCGTCATTTGGATGGATTATAATTATAATTTTCCATCCCGAGTCCCACCATATTTATTGTTCTAAAGAAATAAATATAAACCCGTAAATCAAGTATGAATTAAATTTTGTAGTTTATCAAAAAGTAAAATAACCAGCCAAAAAAAAAAGAAAGATAAATAAGATAAAATTTGTTGATGCGTAATTTGATAGCATATGATTTTTGAATATCAATTATGGGATGCCAAAGATTTTCTTTCTATTATTGAAAGAAGAATTTAAAGCGTCGAGATCAGTAGCAGAAAATAGATGGTTCAAAGAACTGTGGCGTGGCCAGCCATTGCACAGAAATTTACAGAAAGGTTTAAAGAGATTATACGAACTCTTTCAGTAACTGGTTTATATGCTCTGCTCTGGCTTCATTTGGTTCCGCCATCTCTATGATACGCAAACCCTTTGTACAAAAACAAAAACAAAACAAAAGAACGAAGAACAAGATCAGTGCCATCTATCTATACGACTCTGCTTTCTACTTTTTTTTTTTTTTTTTACTTTTAATTTGTGCAAAAGTTCAGGTTCAGGCTAGCTCCGTCGCCGGCCTGGCTCCTCCGCAGCTCGTTATCCACGGGTGTCCTGCTTCCGCCAAATCAAACAAAAATTACAAAAAGGAAGAAGACGAATACTGTAAAATAAGTTTAATTAAGCCATGGATTTGTCGGTATTGTGTTCGAATCAATTGATAAGATCTTAAAGATTCAGGAAATTGTACGAAATTAATTTAAGTTTTAGGGCATAATAAGGCGTAAGAAAATTAAATTGTCGAAACGAATCATAACAACGTTCGCCAAAAGATTGATTAGAGAGTAGAGACCGACGGGAAAGAAAAATTAAGAGCAAATTTCAGGTATGTATGGAAGGAACTTACTGAGGACTTGTTCAGCGGAGAATCTTCTGAAAACGTCTTTACAGAGCATTTTTCGGAGCAAGTCTTTCGCGGCGGGAGATACGGAGTGGAACACTCTGGAGGGAAATCTCAAATTTGCTCTCAACACCGCGTGGAAGATCTCAGCCACCGATTCACCGTGGAACGGCGGAAAACCGGCCAACATAACGTACAACACAACGCCGGCACTCCACACATCAACCTTCTCGCCGTAATCCTTCCCTGCCAGCACTTCCGGCGCCACGTAGTACGGCGTTCCGACGACGCCGTTCATGGACTCTTCGCCCTGCCTGAACATCTCCGCCGATCCGAAATCCGCAAGTTTCACCGAGTCCCATTCGTCGAAGAGAATGTTGTCCGGCTTGATATCGCGGTGTGCGACTCCGAGACGGTGACAATGAGCCAGGGCCTGCATAAGCTGCGACATAATCGAAGCAGCCTGAGCCTCGGAGAACACCTGGAGAGTGATTCGAGTGTGGAGATCGGAAGAAGAACAGAGATCGAGGACCATATGGAGGTGAAATTCGTCCTCGTAGAGATCGTGGAGCGCGAGAATGTGAGGGTGAGAGTAGAGAAGATGCAGGATCTTGGTCTCGTTAACGAGGCATTCGGCATCAAGTGAATCACCGGCGGAGATTCGCCGCCTGTCGATGGTTTTGACGGCGTAGAATTCACCGGAGGCTCTGGAAGTGCATCGGAAAACAGTACCGAATCGTCCCCGGCCGATCTCTTCGATTACCTGATAGTCTCTCTTCAATGCGTCGCTCATTACTGTGTTCTCTCTCTCTCTCTCTTTCTTTTTTGTTTCACTGTAAAACGTACGGAATCTATCTAATTGGAGAGCGTTCGGTTCGCTTTTTATTGAACGAAGTAAAAACGTTGAGTGAAAGGAAATTCAATTGTTCTCGGAATGTTAGGAGGAATATTCGGTGTGGTCAGCGGCCAATGAGAGATCGCCACGTTGGTCAACCACAAAACCGTACTCATACATAGCCGTTCGATAGGAAACAGACTTCTAGAATCTCCAAATTACAAGATTGCCCTCTCTCTCTCTCTCCGTTCTCCGTTGGCGTTACCGTATCCTCCAAGGAAGCTTAATACGTACGGTCGTTTTAAATTGACATTTGTAATTCCAAAAAAAATAATAAAATTTCTATTTTACTTCCGAACTCTTTTTCTTTTTTTGGTAATAGATATTTTCATTCCGAACCTTTATACTAATTTTGCTTTATAGATTTCAAACAATTATGCGAATTTACATAAAAATCTAACGTGAACATAATTTAATGGTCAGTATCTTACCTCTTTTAACATTTATTGTACTAAAAAATAATTGACATAATTTTTTTTAATAATTTAATAATAATCTACCCAATGTCCAATTTGATAATTATTTTATTTGGTTCTATTTTTTAAAATTAAATTTATAACACTATTTTAATTATATATATCTTTTGTTTTATAATTTGCTTTTAAAAATATTTTCAAAATTTATGCGATTTTTAAGAACTAAAAAGTAGTTTTCAAATTTTTATTTTTATTTTTTAAATTTGATTAAGAAATTAAATACATTTTTAAGATGGAAATGCATAAAAGAAATTAGAAAGAAACAAGCTCAGTTTTTAAAAAATAAAAATAAAAAGTAAAAAAACAAAATCATTATCTAATTTAATCAATTATATTTAACTTCAAGTAGTTATTTGTGTATATATATATTCGATTTCTATTAAAAGTTCAATGACAATAAAATATATATATATATATATATATATATATATATATATATAAAAAAAGGTGTATAGAATAAGACAAAAAATTTGTTAAAATAAATTATTTAATATATATTTTTATTTGTTTTGTAAAAGTATGTTTTCATTTGTTGTTACCAAATATTTACTCAAATAGCATAACATAAATATATATTTTCAAATATAGCAAGTGAGTTTGAGTTCTATTTGAATCGTACAATTTTTAAAAATAAAGATTTATTTTTACACTTATGCTCCTATAAAATAGGCTAAAAGAAATTACATTTATATTATATTTTTTTAAATTGAAACTTGTGATATTTTTCGAAACATATATTAAATTTATGGCATGCAGGAAGTGGCGTGATTGGGTTGAAATGAAAAAATGGTCCATTGATTCGAGACGACGCGTAGTTTCCAACTTCCTGTACAGAACGTTGTCGTTTAGGAAGCACGGAGATTGCTAGCAAAACCTGAACGCGTGTTGCTCATGCCGGTCGACCCAGCGTTCCATCATCAACGTGTTCCGCTCTTTCTGGAAGCCCGTTACAGTTCCTGAGAATTCAAATTTTTGAAAAATAGAGAGCTAAAGTGTAAATATACAGAGTTCTTTACCAAAGAGAAGACACATTTATTTATGAATAGACAGCTCCTTTATTGAAGTTGTCGAATACAAAATCTGATCTGACAACGATGACAACAAATGGAAGCAAATTTTTCCTTTCTTTAATCAACAAAAATATGATTGAGAGGCATAAATTAAGGAATAAAGTGGAGAAATATTAAATTAAGTTATAACTTTTGAACCAACCACCTAAATTAAATTATTATTATTATGACCCCCTGTCGTTTTGGTCAGATAATAAGCCAAGACTTCCCCACCCAGAGTCTGGTCAACCAGTAGAATATTCAAATAATTTCACGAACCATCACTTTACCCTATTATATTTAGTTGTCAAAATATCTAGTAGGATATTAAATTTTAGGTAAATGAATGTCATAGATTGAACTCATCCTCTGAGCATTTTAATACTTATATGGTCCTTATTTAGCTTACATTTTCAAGAAATTTTAATACTTTTTACTTTTTTCCTATCAGTATACAATATACCTTTCTTTTTCTTTCGCTCTCACTCCATTTATTTTTCTCTTTCTCTCAAATTTTGTCATTCTGGTGTTGACCTGCAGGAGATATTATAGTTGGCCGTAATCCATTTAGGCAGAAGGTACCCACGGGTACGTATTCGCTTTATATTTATTGCACATGCACGCCAACTGATCAAAGTGTTTGATAAATTAGCCTGACTGCATTTCAGCCGCAGATCCAAGATTTTTCCTCCCCCATCGGCCGGAAAATGGAAGCCCACAACAAACAGCTTCTGGGTCCACCAGATTTTCGGAAACGAGAGGCTGGAGTTTTTGAAGCTTTTCTTTTTCACTAGTATTGGCTTTTGGAGAAACCAAAGGGCTAACCCAAATTATAAGGTAATTCCTTACTAGATAAACGGATACTAGTGGGACAAGGTGAGATACATGACAGCCATTAACTCAAAACTGATCTATGCAAATTGTCAGTTATTTGTTTGTTCGTTCGTTTGTTTTT